GAACGATAAATTAAACAAGAAGAGAGATTACAGTTAACTAACAAACGGAGACGTAACATTATGTAGAGAGATTCTACTTAAATCAAATTAAGCCGGGCATTGTTTCTATAAGAATCTTGAGGAGATTAATGGAAGGAGAAGAGCCTGTACCAAATGTGGTCCAAGTTATTCAAGTGTAAAATAGAAGTAGTAGAAGTAATAGTAATTCATCTTATTGATATTGGGTATCTGGTGTTAAAAATAAAATACTTATTATAAATAATTTCAACTAATTTATGATAATAAGTTATAAAGTAAAAGTGGTTGCTACTGGCCAATTGCCTCCCCCTGTGGTCGGTGGTTCCGAATTAGGGACGGCGCAACGCTGCCTGGCCTAAGCACTGGTAAACGTGCCGCGACTGGACTTCACAATTGGAGGGAGGAGAGCCTGTGCTTTGACCGGTGTTCAATTCCGCTAGTGTGTAAATAAATAAAACAACTAAATGAATAATATAGCAGTTAATGGTTTCGGATTATTTTTATTAACACTGGACACCAGTGGACAAATACATATATATATATACAAATACATACACACATGTATATTAATAATTAAATAGATTAATGTTTTGCATGTAAACGTATAAATATTAATTAAAAGTTTGCACCTTTGATATTTTTACGCGAATGAATGAATTAAAAACTTCATAATAATTTATTTATTATAGTTCACTTATATATAGTATATCCTATGTTAGAGTACGCTTTTAGTGTTGACATTCCGTGGGACTTCGTATCTAAGTGACTGGATAGGTCTGTTTTACCACACTCACTGTGGTAAGATGTATTATTATTAACGAATGTAATCTGTACTAATTACTATTATTACATGTAGTAAATTATTATTATTATTAATGGGGTTATGGTAGAAAGCGATTAAAGAATAAGTCTGAACTTTAAAGCAAGTGAAAAGATTTATTATTTTTAGTCCTATTATTATTAACAATAACAGCCATCAAAATGTTCAAGTTCAACGTTTCAGTATTTTCACGTTCAATGTAACTTGTAAGTTTAACTTACGAGCTGTAACGCTAACACTAGTAACTGTGTAATTATGACTTGTTTAGGACTACAGTTTTGAAGATTAAAATATTATATTGATTCTGATAAATCATGCACTGGTATTTTGTAATTCGCAGGAAATTAAAACGTGTCTTGTGAAACTGAAAAATGAAAAAGTGAAGGTTGCATAAAGATGGATTGAGGTGCAGCCAGCAGGCTAATAGTAATACCATCAGCAGAAAGAACAGCATTCCTTCAACATCAGTATTTAATCAGTGGAAGAACTCCACTAGACTCTATTATTACTGTTAATACTTATAGTGCTGTTACTAGTAGAACTAAATACTAATTTACAGCTACCAGTGACTGGTTCAAATAATTGCTTAACAATGCATCTTAAGTATATGAAAACACTGTTGCCTCCTCAGGTAATATTTTAAAATGATTTTTGTATATGTACTGTCTGTGAAGTGTTTGAAATTATGTTAGCTTAAACTATACAAATAATTTTAAAATTCACTCACTTAAGCAAAAAACAGCAACATAAAGTTTTGAGTTGTAAAATTTTAAAATTTCATTAAGAATTAATGTAGAAGCTAAGTGTAAAGAAATAAAGGTTGAAATAAGTTTATAAATATTGCCCCTTATAGTTCAGAAAAGCAGAAATCAATAGTTTTTAACAAATTTCAAAGAAAAAAGCAAAAATGTTTATTATTTTATGTTTTTTACTAATAATATCAAATGTTAAAAGAAAGTAAAAGACTTACAGAATACAATAAAAATCAATATATTTTATATACAAAACTAAATACAGGTAACATATGTGAATTACAATTGAAATTCACAAATTTAATTTCCTTTTCAGGATGGTGCTGCGAAGATTACAGCTATAGCATGGTCTCCTAACAATGCAAAGTTGGCAGTCTGCACAGCTGACAGAGTTGTTTTACTGTTTGATGAAAATGGAGAAAGGAGAGATAAATTTTCAACTAAACCAGTTGATCAAAAAGTATGTGTATGCTGTTGCTTTTGATCATTTGTTTTTATTAAAATTGGTCTCAGACTAGCTGTTAAAATATAATTAATTATATTATTTTTATATACTTACTAATGTAGTATAAACCTACCCTCGGATATAATTTAAAGATTGTGTTTGCCTTTACAATTGTCCAAATAAAGATAATCAATAATATCCAAGTCATACAAAAAAATTAAACAAAATACCATCAGTATCTTATTATAATGGAGCTTGCGTGGTATAAGTCCAAAACTTGGATCTTGGAAACTACCGCAACAATCATAACTGGGTAATATTTTTATAACTAGGCAGTATTTTTAAAATCTCATGAGTGTTGCAACAGAAAAGCAAGGCCACTTTCATTGATAACTGCATCTACGAAGAAATACTTTAATAAAATCTACTCTCTGAAGATAGCTCATTTTTAAACTAAGATTTCAATAAGATCCTTTTTCTCATGGATGGTGAATATTATTGAATGTCAAGTATGAGTACATTGTTGTAGAACTGTCAGACAATTCCAGAAAAGGCCCAATAGCCTTACGCAGGAAGTAGCAGTTATACCTGTCCAGATGGTGGGTACTTCTGCTAGTTGGAACTAATTCTACTAATTATTGCTGGAGTTTCTTTTTTCATAGAAAGTAACTGATTGCACCCATTTTTTTATTCTTTACAGTGAGTGTTGTAACAGGTAAGATATACAACTAATAGATATTATGAAATAATCCAAAGGGATTTATATATATATAGAATTCATAAGGCCATAAATATTCCCAAATCTATAATAAATAATTGTTAATTCAATAGTATATTTATTTAAAAGAAAATATTGAAAATAGCATTTTATTAATGCCTTTTTGAATATAACTTGGAATGTTGTATTAAAGTTTTTTTTTAATGTGTACTTTTAGTGCGAACTATACATAAATCCCAGCAAGTAAAGAGATCACCCCTTTTATTGGCATTTGTATTATTTATAATGTTATAGTTATGTTGCCAAGTTAACATTAATCTTACTGGGAAGTTTATCTAGAACTCTTTTAATTTGAGCTACATGTACAGTATTTACACAGACTTCTTTGTGACTAACAGTGTGCACATCAGGTTTGATCCAAGGATCAGAGAAATGGTATATAAGATTTGCAAGCTGTAATTAATAAGATGTATACTTAAATCCATCATATGTAAGATGTAAAGCAGTATTAATTTACTAATATGTTTTCTGTACTAAATAGTTCAGTGGAGATATTATGTGTGTATTTTGGACAGTGAGATATATATGTTATGTAAGATCTTCTTATATTTTTATTATATGTGAATAATAATCAGGTGCTGTTCAGTACTTCAGACTTTGTTGATAATTGTATACATGTATTTGCAGTATGGCAAAAAGAGTTATATTGTAAAAGCTGTGGCATTTTCACCTGATTCAACAAAAATAGCTGTGGGACAGACTGACAATATTATTTATGTATACAAGATTGGAGAAGACTGGTAAGATTATAGTACTTTGTTTTACAACATTTTTTGTAATTTTAAAGTTTAGTATCAAATAAAATATATAATTAATTTTGTTTAAACCTCATATATCTAAATGTAATTGCTGAATCAGTGTCAACACTACTGTTGCCAATTCCAGAGCAGGGCAACTTATCTTTGGAGAATTATGCAAAATCACTGGTTATTGTTGGTAGTTGCACTAAATATTAATATAAGATATACTATATACTGTATTTTTAAGTTTTCAACTCTTGACATTGTGATGATTGGTATTATCTGAAATTAAATTTTGGATTACTGCATGTCATATTCAATATTTTAATACTGATGTTCTACTACTGCACATGTAAAAGTTGTAATGAGTGTGCTTTAGTTTATAATTTGTTGTGTTGGTTTTAACAATTGGTTTTCTGATTATAGCTGGGCTCATTAATGAATTGGCAAAAACATATGAAAATTTTTTAAAGGTAATCTGAACATGTACTGTTTGACAAATCATTAATGTTGAGACAACTATGCATTCACCATTTTTGTGTTTTTAAAATGTATTGTAATCTCTCATTGATCTTTGTAAATGTAACAAATTGATAATCAAGTAATGAAAAAATGTTTTGCTATCACTGATAACTATAATAATGTGTTTATTGGAAACATATCACGGTTGCAATTATAAATCAGTAAGTAGTCAGTTAGCCAATTTATTTATGTATGTTGTTTGAATACAATAAACATAAGCATAATATGCAATATATATAAGGATTTGAGTTACCAAAATATTTTGTACTCACCTACCATATTCAATAAACCTAAGTAAAGTTAACCTGATGTCATCTCATGTAAGAACATTTTTGTTCCTTTCAAACACATATAATTTAATGTATAAACACTTTCATTCAGATTATAAACTTTCCCATGAAACCATTAACTACTGCTCAAACCACTATACTTACTGTACTATGACTTAAAAAGTCTAATTCTGCTCTATCCAATCATATTTAAACTTTCTTTATAGTTGTTTTTAAAGTTCTATCTCGTTAGTAAATTACCAAACCTCTTGATATGATGTCATAAATGGGTAGCAGCCAAGGCCTGTACAAAATCTAAATAGAAAAAGACAAGGGAAATGTTTGAAAACCAAGAAAGGAATAATATTGTTACGTCTCTGTATGTTCGTTTGTAAATTTTTCTGTGATACAAGTCCTTTCTTAAATAAAACTAGTTTATTCTTCCTCAATACAACTTTGCAATACACTTAATTTCCACAGTTACTTTAACTTAAACACATGCTATAATTCTCAACAATTCACTCACTTTACTACTTTGCTTGACTTAATTTTCCATCTCTATCTCTGCCTGTCAGCAACTATAGTTCCGATCTCTGTATCTGCTATCCTCGGTTCCCACCGACCGTAGCTGCTGTCCTTGGTTCCCCACTCTCTCTCTCTCTTTCCTTTGTCTAGCGCACTTATATACGATAATAGCGCCCGCGTAGTCTCTTCAAGAATCTTCTAGACACTCATCACGTGCTACCAGCATCACTTGACTTACGCTGTCGTAACACAAACGTGTGCATCGCTCACACTAGCGTTTTTCGCGAACCTTCTAGATACTCATTACATGTTACCAATGTCGCGTGACTTCCGCTGTTGTAACAATATACTTTAAAGAGGTGACAGGTTCTTAGCAAAAATAGTTTTTCTTGGGAATGGGCAGAAATATTCTGAGAAACTTACAAATGTGTTGTTTACAGGTGAAACTCCTTAGAGCTGTGCAGAAATGAAAATTGGAATTTTATTTATTTTTTCTCAAAAAAAATTAAAATATAACTTCTAACATATTTTTAAGTTGCATCTGTTGAAATAGAGTTAGAATTAACATATAGAATTGATTTAAAAATTTGTGTCCAAAAAAATTATTGGGTAAAAAACAAATATGAAAAGCCAGAGGAAATGCTGTCTTCAGGTGCAATAATTTAGAATTAAGTTACTTTGTTAATCCTAAACTGTTGTATATGAAAATGTATCATACATGCAAAGTAGTAACAACTCGAAAATATGATTAATAATGTACCATTGGTTTCTCCCTAAAAATTTTCACAAGACCACTATAATAAGCTATTAAAAAAATTAAAATAAACATATTACTTCATGACATTTTCAAGCAACTTTTTATATAAAGTTAATAAATCTTATTACCATATAAAACCTCACAAATAAAATATCTTAAAAACCCTAACTACTTTCAGTCATAGACCTACATCAGATGTCAGTTAATTAAATGTCTTACATTGCTAGAAATAAAATTATTTTCAAAACATGTACAAGAATTATACCAACAAAACTGATGTTCATAGAAAAAATAAAGATATTGGAGATTGTTAGTTGGAGTTCGTATTATAGAAAAAACTATTACTTGTTAAACCTTACTGGCAACTAATATATATATATGGTATATTAATCATATTATACATTAATCAATGTAATAATAATTGTGATTACTGGATTGTTGGAATAATCAAAAACAATAATAATTGGAAATGCTAATTGATTATTTCTCACACAGTACCTTACCTCCTCTCACAATATCCATTCTCGTTCAGTGCTGTCCTCTATATACAAAATTTTTTCACATGCTACAAGCCTTGAAACTTCCACCTATCCCATGATCAATGTGATTCACTGCGTCTTCGCGCGTAAATCATCATGCAACAACCCTCCACTAATAGGTGTGCGACACACCCTCCTGATGTATGTGACTCCCTCTATTTGATTTTACCTAATCATCACATCTCATTAGGCAGTGGTCTTGTGCAGATGTTTCATTTGTCGTGAATTTTTTTATCTCTCTTTAAAATAGTGGATTCAAGTTTTACTAGTTTTTTTTGCTACAGTTTCTTCACTGTAGTTTATGGTTAAGAAAACTTACCTTTATTTTTTTTTCCTGCTTTTCCTCACAATTTGTTATGAACTTGAAATTTCATGTCATGACTTCAGCTACAGGTAGAACTACTTTGACTGTCATGACACAGGATTCAGGTATGAGGGTCTCGGCTGGGGATTTTTTGCCCATCATTCACAGGGAGTTTGAATTTTAAGTGTCTCATCCCTCTTTTTCCTGACAGTGTCCAGGATCATCCTATCCCTATAGTACCTGTTCATGATTAGGAACATTTTGACAGCCTTTTTTCAATGCCTGTACCTTTCTTGTGGAATCTGCTAGGCCTACCTCAGCTTTTATGGATATGTTTTCTCAGATTTGTTACATTCTTCTGTATCCCTAGTTTCATATACTCCTGTCCCTTAAAAGTTACATGCTGCCCCATCATCCAATTACCTTGTCTTCCCTTCTTCTCCCAATTTTTAAGTTCATGCTGCGCATTTCATTTCTCAGCTGAGGGCTGGTGCCAACATGCCTCTTTGTCCACCACGGGCTTTTGATCATTATGCATTAGCTTACTTTCAGAGCTTTGATCCCTTTCTTGACTTCCAGCAATTGTATTAATTTTTGCATTTGTGGGGGTGGATCCTGTATCCCAAGCCCAGTTTTCCTGCCTTCATCTTCACCTTACATATCTTCTTTCCACATATCATCATGACCTGTGGATGGCTGTTTTTCTCCATAGGTTTCTTTTTTTGGAGATATTCTTGAATATTTGGATTCATATATGGAATCCGCAAGGCAACACTCAACCCATTCATCTTTGGTTGGTCATTTGTCTCAGCCTGCTCCCATACCTTACTCTATACTCATTTCCCATCCTTCGCCCTCTCATCCTTTGCCTTTCATAACTCCAGGGCTCCATCAGTTCATCGTTTGACTCACAGTCGTAGTCTTCACCACCAACAGTTTCAGTGACTATTCAGTGGTGTTCGGCCCAGTAGGGGCATGTTTATTCGAATTTGTTCACCTGTGGCAGAAATTCACAATAACCTGTGGGTGATCCTGGGTTTGTTAGACAGACTTTCTCCATGATTCTTCTCAACACTCCCTTTGTCTCCAGTTCCAGTGTCCTTCCCATTAACTCAGGATCCCATTACCAGTCAGCATCTTTCTGAAGCTGTTTGGACTATTCTCTCACAGCATGCTATAGTGCCTGTCAGTCTTCCTGCAAAATTATTTTCATTGGATCTATAAAACCCTGCCCTGTGAATGTTGCTCCCCCTTCATATTCTATATTCAAAATTTAAGTTACATTTTTATGTATTAATTCAGCCCAAACTATTTAATCTTTTTGCCATCAATTTTAATAAATCAAAACCCATTTAAACATTACTATCTTTGCTAGTTTTAGATGTATTCATCCCTTATCAAGAAGTAATTAATCAATCGCTTCACATCTTAATTATCATTTCTTATTTTTGCAACTCATGTCAACTTTGAACTGGATATCCTTAGTACAGTCTTGGTTCCTTCAGTCATCAACACCTGCTTCATCAATGTTAATAGCCACCTTTTATATTCAAGCCTTGATATATACGAATAGCCTTCTACAGTTTCAGTATCAACCTCTCTTTCTTTTGCCCCTAGTGGCATGTCTGCAGATTTACAATGCTAGAAACCAGGTTTTGATACCCATGGTGGGCAGAATATAGTTAGCCCATTGTGTAGCTTTGTGCTTAACTTCAAACAAACAATAAACTTCCTGTCGCTGACCCCCCCCCATCTTGGTTTTTCCCTGACATATATATTACGATGTGTCAACTCTTCTTGTTTACCTTATTCACCAACTATGTTTGTGAATCAGTCTCTCATGCTTCAATAACATAAAGTCTAACATTATTTTATCAAAGCACTCAAAAATCATAAAACTTAATTTCTTTGCAGCCTTGGTAATTGTCCAACCAAAGTTTTCGTGAGCAGAGTGAAAAGAAACTACAATTTCTGATCGTCCCTGGTTACCTTTCAGGCCCTTTCTAGAACTGAAAGTTTTAAAACCAAAATACCTTCCAAGATATTTTGCTTTGCTTTTTTTCCATGCACCACCAGATTATGAC